TGCCTCCAATTACCAAATCGTTGAATGCGCAGAATTCTGCAAACGATTCTCCATTCTCGTTCATCACCTCTCCGAGCGCTTCTCGACCATGGTTTGTTCTCTTCCTGTGTTGTCCGCTCCCAGTTTGGCTGGCATTCATGTCACCTCAGCCATCAGAATTTTGATGTCGTCAACTGGTGTGACGTCTTGTCCATTACTGATTGTAGTTGTCTGTAGAATTCCTCCTTCTTCTCTTGCTCTGCATTATTTGTAGGTGCGTAGCGTAGCATAGCATTGTATGATTGTGACCTTCCTTCCTTTTGAGTTGAATCTTGCTGTCATGATCCTGCAGGAGGAGATTGGTTCCCACTGCATGAGAGAGAGCCTTCGATGCTCCTGAAGGGGAAATCATGATAGCCACTCCATAACTCAGTTTGCTGTGCTCGTTCGTGGTTGTCGTCTGTGTGGGAATATCGGAGTAGATTACTGATTCTCCAGTTGACAGTTTGGAGAGTCCACTCCCATTCCATCTGCTTTCGCAAATTCCAAGCACTTCAGTGTGATACCTTCTCATCTCGTTTGCAGTCTTGGCTGCTTTACTGGGTTTAAACATCGTACGGACATTCCATGTGCCCACGTTTACTCTCGCTTTCATCGAGGGAGAGAAGACACATTGGCCAATTGGCTTCCCGAAGTCAGGCTCTCACCAACCGGCGTCATTTTGCCTCTCTGATTCCAGTGAGGACTAAGTTTGTTTTCATTTTTATATTTTGTTTGTGCTATGAAGTTTGTTTAGCGGTTAGATTTGTTTTATGGTGTAGGTTTGCTAGCCGTATGCCCAACCTTCCCTGTTTATCTGGGCTTATGACAGGCTAGTATAACTAGTGAACTAGTTAACCAGGCGAGGTTATTTATTCAGGCATAAATGAAAGCAATACTAATCACTGAAAATACACAAAATAATATCACTCCATGGTATACAGTTTCAACTTAAGCGCAGCAGTATTTAAAAAACCCGAGATAAGTTGTATCTTTTCTTCTAATAAATCAAATTCCACTTTCCAGATCAAATGCGTTCATAGCGTCAACACGACAGTTCAGTTCATTTCTCCTGAAATCACAAGACTGATGTCTACTACGGTTTAGATTTACTTCCTTGTCATCTTTTTATAATGAGAAGAAAGCATGTGTAAAGAAGTTGAAACCAGCAACAGAAATAAAACCCGATTGATGGAAAGTATATCAAGTGAAGAATTAATTAACAAATGTTTTCCACTTTCGTTGCCGTAAATAAACTTCATTTCATGAAAACAGATCTCACTTACTGTTGAAAATAATATTCGCTTTTGTTTTTCTTCGAAATATTTCACACACTATCCTACGTCTTAAAACTGCAATCGATAAAGCAGAAGAAGAGCATAAAACTGAATGTTTCGATATCAAACAGAATTCTCCAGTGCTCATTACTATTAATGAAGTAAAAGAAATTATCTTACAGTTCTCTAAGTGAAAAGCTAAATCTTACAGTTTTCTCTCTATAAATTTCAGATTTTCAAATTTCCAATTGTTAACACTGTCTGTAACAGAGTAATGCCACTGTATTCTTAACAAGAAATGCATTTAAATGAGGATAAACAATATTTCTGGAAAATTATGAAAATTTCTAGCGCATTAATCGAAGCTAAACGTCTACAAATTAAATTTAGGTAGTAAAGCAAAGATATAACAAGGAAGTTAATTTTTATTTTTGGGGATTTCGTCCACTAAAGTTGTACAGTCGAAGTTAAAATCGTTGAAAGCAAATAACAGTCTAGCACTAAGCAAAGGAGACACGTGATTACTAGGATGTCCTTCAGTAGAATTAGAAGTTTCCAGAAACAGAAGAAACATCACGTCATGCAGAAATAGTGATCGGAGAAAGCCGTCATTTGTAATTTGATATATTTTCCGTGAAATGTGAGATATTAAGCAATGATAAACAGTTTCCTGGTTATTGCCTTGCAACGTTGAAATGTTAGTACTCTTCGTAGGTCCATTCCTCTAAAGAGTAAATGGAATGGATCGTCCCTAAATTCCAATCAGTTTTAAACGAATATTTGTCAAATACTCACTTATAGCTCTAAATGAATAAGTCCAAGTGATAAACCGAAGGAAACTTTGCTGAGCATTGAAAACACCCTGAGTAGACAATGATTACCCACTCAAGTTTATCACTAAATATGTAAAACCAAATGACAATAAATTGAAGCGAAGCATATCGAACAAGAACTCTATTTTTACTGAAGAAACTTCAAAAGTGACGATATCGCTGGAAGAATTATTAGAAGGCTGAAAGCCACACAACAAAACGCGTCCTGCAGCCAGGTTGGTTCCTCTCTGCAGAACAACATACTCCTTGGTTCAATTAAAAGTCAACAGGTTCCCTTCCTATGTAGTCTTTAAGTGTGCGCTCACGTATGTGTTCATCTGAGGTAGTAATTACATCGGGAGGATATAAATGAGGTCTTTGAACATGTAATGAAAAGAGCACTTCTCAGAGGGACAAATGCTTTCAGTAATGCAGTTACTCAGTAGCTTATTGACACAGGGCATGAAGTAGATAACTTAGAATCCTCCAAAGTAATCAATAAACAACGTAATTCTAACCTTTGCAACCTCACAGAGGCCGCAAACGTCAAAGACTGAGACCGGAACTATGTTCATAAAAAGCAGTAATGAGTCTTACTTTGCCCTGATAACCTAATGTTGTACTTTTTCTTTCGGTTGATGGCATCACCTTCTGAATGAACCCTTTTTCCATTTGTACATTATTTTGTCTGATAATCGTTCTAAGAACTGAGTTCAATCAATTATACTACATGGTTTGTTTATTCTTTATTACCAACTAGCCTACCCGATAATCAAATCATTTAATCTTTAGTTACGATTCCTACTTTTCTCGAACTCTGTTAAACCACTTGCATTACTGAAACTTCTTAGCATATCTTGTTAACTTTATCTAGATGTTTGCATTCTTTATTAAACCATGTTCTTCCTTGTTAACCAAAAAACGTAAGTTCTAACTCTTTTGTAATGTGATACATAAATGATTTTAGGTTGTCAGCAGCTGACTAGAAACTGGCAAGATAAAACATAGCCAATCGTTGTTCTTTCCTTTTTCAATTGCATGAAAGGGAATATATGTATATAATTTTCAATAATGATTGTATATCCGCAAAGAAAGTAGTTTTTATTGTAATTCATACGAAACTGATAGCCAGTCCCAAGACATCAAATGAGAGAAATGTTTTTTTGAAAAAAGATGTCTGACAAATTACAACCTACATGTTTCACAAATCGAAAACATCATATACTTTCTCACGCCGTTTCTTGATAATTAAAAAGTGGAAAAACAAATAGTGAATAGAATAATCTCAATTTTCAAGTTCTTTGTGGAATCTGGAGGCTTGAAAGGTACCTGCCGATTGATGGGAAGAAGGGCTACCTTGTCAAACTTACAAAGAAGGGAGACACAAGCCTTTGCAAGAACTGGCGAAGAATCACGCTCCTGTCCACACACCAAAACAAAACATTAAGCCGCATCATTCTCGAGAGACTAAAGGAACCGCTGGATTCAAAATACGACTAGAACAATGTGGCTGGCTAGATTCAGGAAGAACAAATTATGTGAGGATCAAATTGCAACGCTACGCCACGCATCACAATCAAACAGAGTATAGAGTGGCAGTCAACCCTCCACCTCAACTTCATCGATTTCGAAAGAACCTTGTACATTGTCGACCGAGAAGTAATTTGGCAGGCAGCTGCTTCAACACTACTCTTTCAGTGCCACAAATCTTTGTCAACCTCATTCAACAGAAGCTATATGATGACGCCACATACCGAGTGATTCACAATGGGAAGCTCAGTGATGCTTTTGAAGTGTAGTGAAGTGAAGACAGGAGCAGGTTACGGCTGCCACCTACTACCATCCATGATCCTCCTGATTGTGTTTGACTGGATCATAGAACAAACAGTGGGGAGTGATAAGAGAGGCATACACAGGCTTGATGGATGAAAATATCACAGGAGAAGATTTGGAATGTGCCGATGATGATTGATGTCTAATATCTTGTCTCACAAACTCGAATATCTGCAGGCGAAAATTAGCAAGTTGACAGAAGAGGTAGGGCAGCGAGGATGGAACATCCTCCAGGTGAACGTAGAGAAGACAGAGGTGGAGGTGATGAAGATAGCCAATCTACAACAGCATCAACAACAACAAACTCCAATCATCATGAATAGGAGAAACCTAAACGAAATTGTCTCTTTCACCTACCACTCTGACTAGGCAGCATCGTTTCAAATACAGGTGGCACAGGCACAGATGAGGACGTAAAAGCTGGGATCGGAAGACACTAAGACAGGCTTTCATTAACCTGAAATCGGTGTGGAGATCTACTACACTATACTCAGCACAAAGAACAAGATCCTGATATTCAACACTGATGCCAGTCAAGTCAGTGCTTCTGTGTGATGGTTGAGAGACTTGGTGCATCACGCAAAGCATTTCCAACAAACTACAGACATTCATCAACAGCTGACACCTACACTCACTCGATACTGACACTGAAGATCAGATGGTCTGGATAACAAGAATAAGCGACAAGGAACTCTCTCTGGCTGGCAACGAACCAACCAAGAACCCATCGCCTAACAAATATACATTGGAAGAAAGTGGAGATGGAACGGATGAGACATACACTGAGAAGACCACTTAGGTACACCACGTGCCAGGCTAGGTTGTTGAGTGGAACCCGAATGGGTGAATGATGAGTTGGGCTTTGGAGGATGACATGGAGGAGATGGTGTGAGGAAGAAATGAAATGTTGTGGTCAGTGGTGGAGGCATGTTTAAAATACTGGAGAGAAGAGAGTGAAATAGTGACGTGCTACTGGAGCTCTATGTTCCAATAGGAACCGAAGGGGCGAATAATAAATAATGTTATGAAAACGGAATCTAATTTCATTCAAAGTTTATAGATGTATCTTGAATTTAAGAATATTAGGTAAATCCCCAGCATCTGCTACCGGCATTTGGTAAATTTTTTGGAGAAACAAACAGACAGCTGTAGGATTGACTGTCAAATAAACGTCAAACGAAGTGATTTATTACTACATACAAAGCGTGGAAACTTTGAGAAAAACATACTTTGGGCTTTACTGACCACATTTTTAGTTCCAGTAACTTACAGACATATTTACCCACAAGCATTTCTTCAATATGAGAAAATTCTATCAACGATATGTATTCTGATACAGTTTATCAAATATTTAAACTTGAGCACTACATAACACGAAACAGAGTTTTGTTTATCATAATACAATTTATTAAATTGCATTTACGGAAATATTCACGAAATCATGCAAAAGGCAATCTAATAAAGTGAAAATATAATTATTTATCAAGATACAATGAAAAACAATCTACAATTTATAAACAATAAATTAATTTCTTTTGAATAAGGAGCTGTTTTTATCTTTGAGTTTCCAGACCAGAATGCCCTTCCGACAAGTATATAAGCAGTATATTCAAATACCAATTAGTGATTATCTTGTGAATATCAAAAGGGAAATCCAATGGACCTGTTAAATTTTACAAACCGCCCGATTTCTAAGTGAAATTATTTCTTTACGGAAAAAAGTAGCATCATGGCAGATGTATAGGGTTAACTTCTGTAAAAATCCATTTATGTAACTAAGTTTTCGCTGAACAGTGTGAATTTAGTTTAAAATCATTCACTAGTACTGTAAGGCATACTTCTGAATTTCAAGATAACTACAAGTTACCTTGTAAGTGTTAAGTGGGAACAAAGTAATCAGTAAAAAATACTTAAACCCTATGTTCGTATACAATTCAGTATTTGGTTGTTCAATGAATTTAAAACTCAGTACAGCTGGAGTTGTTGATAACATTCTGAATCATGATACACAAGAATGTGCTATTATTCCATGAAGTTGAAAAAATTAGACATTTAAAAAATTAGATTAATTTTCTAATAAACAAATTTAAAATATTCTATAAATTTAATCCTTTTGCCCGCAAAACTGAGCAAGTTAGCGAAACAAAATCAATACAATGTAAGTCAATGCAATTATTTCAGATGCAAGAATCCAAATTGCCAGAAATTTGAAATCCATATTAATATATGACAAATAGTGACTAAAACACCTTTGTCTTTGCTTAAAATTCTCTTAAGTTAAATAACAAAAGATAGTCCATACAGATTAAACCGGTCACCTGTGAGGAGATAAAAACTTTGAAATCATATAATTCAGAGTAGGCAATGAAGAGCAATATTATCAAGCGAGACAGTGGAATAAGCGCTTTAAACATTATTTTAAAAATGTCTCTAATGACCGCTGTAGAATGGTAAAGTAAATGCGATGACGACATATTGAGTCGGGTAGAATTTTGCATACATTATTTTAAAAGGATCCAGTGTATTTACACGGAAGACTCAATGCATGAAGACATCAAAATACTAACTGAAACAGTTAAAAATGGATATCCACTGAAGTCCATAAACCTTTGCAAAAATCAGCCAGTCTTTACTCTGTTACGAAGAAATGCGCTTACAATACGTTAACATACAAAGGAGAATTTAATGGCATAAGATTAAAAAAAGGTTTAGGACTGCTGCCTGCAAAAACGTAATATGCAGCTAAGCTTGTCATAGTTTAGAAGACCAAACACATACTGCAACATTGATCTCAAAGTTGTATAAATGATTGCGTAACATCTCAATGCATTATAAACTTACTTATGTGGACAGGCATATTTACGGAGGACTAACTGTGAAATTCACTCGAGGATCATGAGAGCATGTAACAAAATGGCTACAAAACACCCTGGAATTCAAAACATAGATAAACCCTGGTGATAAACAACCATCATCATCTACTGCAAAATATATCATTCATGAAAGTCACAGGATTAAAACAGCCCTTACAATTTTGTGTTGAAATTATCAGAGGCATATACTTAATTTTGTTGCAGCCCTAACCATTAACAAATTTAAACAATACAAGAAAGATTCGGTTATCAGAATAAAACAATGTATTATTTCATAGATCAGCATTAGCTAAGGATTATCAGTTCGACCATCTGAGATAGCTGTGGTTGGGCAGACCTGCTTTATTGATACGGGATGTTGATTGAAGGTTAAATGCAAATCTGGACCAGTGACCTCCATTTTTGAGTGTTTTTCTTTATTCGGTTAAACTTCCACAAATCCACTACTATATTAATAGTGGACAGACCAAAACATGTCACCAGTCGGTGAAGTTTCTGACTGTTGATTTTAGCCGTCTAGGAAGGTTTAAACTACCTGACTGGGTGTATTATTAAAAGTTATATATCGATAGTTGAGTCAAAAAGTTGATTTACGAGAAGTATGGGTGAACAGAAAGATGTATTGCTTTCAAGTGTAGAAGTCAGAACTCGCGCCTTTAAACGATTGAATTTCTTACATTTGGCCCACTTAATACACTTAAACAATACAAGGAAGATTGGGTTGTCAGAATAAAACAATGTATTATTTCATAGATCAACATCAGCTGCGGATTACTCACAGTTGCAGTAGTTTTCTAAACCATACGAACTATTAACAAATCTTACGTATAAAACATGTTGCGGTTATACAAAATGGATTATGAATTATTAGAACAAAAATATTTTCCTTCACAAACGTATATTTATATCTATGAGAGGCTTAGGCTAGGTCATGAATCGTTGCTTGATAGTTGGGATGAATTTGTAGTTTGTCTACTCAAAAAGATAAGTCTGTTCAATAAAATATTGGTAAATCTAAGAATCATTGAACTCTCATCGTGATCGATATTTGATTTCACAATTCACTAGTACATTATGATGAAAACTTTCTTATTACTTCCTTTTTCATAAATAGCTTAAATGTCCACATCTCTCGTGGATGGCTTGTCGCTATTGTGGGTAGTGTTGGCTCTGGAAAATCATCTTTTCTTTCCGCCTGTCTTTTCGATATGTTTAAACGAAGTGGATCAATCTCTGTAAAAGTTAGTATGCACATATGTATGCTTGCATCATAATTATCTCCATCAGGTTTTCTAATGATAAACAGACACTTTACTTTTTTCTGAGAATTATTTACATCGGTGTTTTTTGCTACTGAATTGTTTCCGTTTTGTTTTAACAACCTGATACCGTATTGTACATGCAGTTGGACATAAGAACGCCATCAAATGTGACGAATGGGTAGTCCTGTGAGTCTAATTGAATTCATAGAGGGGAATATCAGCCATCAGGTGTGTACAGGAAAGTGACATTTGATGGGAACAGTTTCAAATATCAGGAAGAATCCTAGTATTCTTACAATAAAGTGGTGCCTATTACCAGTTACCCAAAATGTTATAGCTATGACAAAGGTCAATTTTGACCGAACCCGTTATATATGTATGTTAGTTTGAAGTTTGTAGGGATTTTTTTGATTTCAGGGTAAAATTCATCACAGACTGACATCAGTTGGAGAACCATTGAAAACCTGGAAGCACTAAAAGGCTGTTTCCTGCTAGTATGGGACTCGTCAGCAGTGTGCACTGAAGACTTTCAACTTTAGCAGTGAGCACGTTACCACAGAGTCACTGGGTCTAAGTTCACTGGTCCAGAGTTTTCTACCCGTGTCAATTTGATGCATAGCGCGACGTGAGGTAGGGCGCTGTAGGGTGTCAATTTGAGTTACTTCGTCAGTAACAAGTACTGCAAGAGTATATCGGTGATCTTTGACCCCAAAATTGTTTGCATCACTGAAGTTACAAAAATGTGATCCTTTTCAAAGCTTAATTTAACAGAAACTAATTTCTTACGGATGTCTACTGTTATCAGGGTTCAATTGCTTACGTGTCACAAACAGCCTGGATACAGCAGCAGTCACTACGAGACAATATTCGTTTTCACACATCCGCTGAAACTCAATCGAATCCAGTTGCAGAACAGATGGAAGAATTATGGTATAAAAGTGTTGTTTCAGCTTGTGCTCTTGAAACTGATATAGCTCATCTTCCCGCTGGTGATAAAACAGAGATTGGAGAGAAAGGTGTCAACTTATCTGGAGGTCAAAAGCAGCGTGTAAGCTTGGCTAGAGCTGTATATCAGGTAGGTAGTAAGGATTTCTGCATTCAATTGTTCATATGCGTTTATAAACGTGAAAATAACATATCCTCTTTTGATGAGTTGTTTTGTCTTCTACTTCAACGTTTCATCCATTTTATTCATTGTCTGAACAGTTCCTAGGACATTATTCAGAAAAATCATCCAGCTGTTTGAATCAGATATCTCTTCTCAACAACTTATCATCTCATTTGTGTCCATTAATTGATGTTTTTATTGGAACTTATCTAAAAGTCTGTCTATATTGATATTTCTTGACGTTAAACCTGTATATCTTTCTATCGTTGTCAGTCGTCGGTTATTTTTTTGCATAAGCAGTGTACTTATGTACCTATCTGTTCTACAGCCTTTTTAATAGGTGGTAGTGCGCACTCTTCAGTGTAGAGTAGCCAGATGGATTTACGTTTTTCAGTTAGTTGATTATAACCATGATGATTGTTGTCATGTATAGGACAGAGGATTCAATGCACGCAAGGGGGTCTACAAAGCTTTTTAGTGAAGTAGCACATTGACCTGCAAGCTAAACTTGACTTTTGATAATGTGCATAGTTTCCACGAGCTTAAGTAGATACTATGAGGCTAGATTTATGTTACGAAACCTATGAGCGGTCAATATGAACATATATTGTACACTGAAATTTATTTACACTTTCTGGATAATATAATAGGTTGAACAATCCGTATGTTTCTTGCTAGTTGTTTGGAATTAGTCGATAGGGAGTGTTTGACCGAGGTGTTTGTGCATTTTGGGGTTCGTTAACGAGGTGTATCTGCAAATAAAAGGAGAATTACAAATTCGAACGTACATTACTCCTTTCAAGATTTCCTCTAGAAATTTGAAAGAGTCCATGCAAAGCGAATGAGCAGCAGTGAGTGGTAAAAGCGGAAAAACGGAAGAAAATATTAGGGGCAAGTAATTATAATAGTTAATTTTTAACATTTTTTTACAGGAATTGTTATCAAGATGTTTGTGATGAATGAAACTATTGGTGAGATAGATGAATAGCGGTCCACTGATAAGAGAGGCGACTAAGAGAATGAGTGGAACATCTTAGTAACAGTTCAGCTGACCTTTAGTTGTTCAGTATCCAGATTTCTGACTGAATCGACATGAGTCGTCAAATTTTAGTGAAGCCAGAAAGACTGTTACTTATCTGAAACGACGAAGCACAAAAGACTTCGATGGCTAGCATACCGTGTATTTAGGGAGGTTGTACCTAGATTAGTTGGTTAACTAGGGTACTTGTTCGTGTTTAAGAATCAGAGGTTAAACCAACATAGGATCTAAGATTCTGAGTTCAGTCATCATACGAAGTCTAACTTAAGTTCGATTCGAGAACGGTGAGTTCTAGAAAATCTGGTAGACTTCCTGGCAGACTTTCCTTTGGATGGTCGAGCACAGAAACTGATTTAAAAGTAGCAGAAAGCGTAGTTGACTTGGATTACGCTAATGACATATTCGTATGAAGTGGTGCTGGTGACTGAAGTGATACTAGCTAGAAGCCTCAGGAATCTCTGAATGTTTGGAATGCACTTCTTATCTTTGAATTGTGGTTTCTTTTACTCAAGACTGATCATCATTATATGATGGGAAATGCACTCGTTTGTCGCGTTGACCACTTTATTTACGTAAGAAATCAGGTCAACCTTGGTTGACCAATTACTTACGAAACATAGACTTACAATTGTGCTTACCTACGACATCATTAAAAAGTGTCTAGTTTACAACACAGCAGTTTGCTCTTTCTTTTTATTATATGGATGCGACACATGGCCATTATAACTGAAGAGCATAAGAAGGATTCAACCGATTGATTTTAATAACATTTCCCGCATACTGTTAATCGTTGATTTACGGTAAAATAATTGGGTTATTTTTTTAGGTTGTAGACCTTCATGAATTGAATCTATTTCGGTGATGTTTGTGCATATAAACCTTATCTTAGCTATTTCATCCTCTTTCATTATGTTTTAATTCCTTTTATTTCATCATATAGGTTTCTAAAACACTTGGTAATATTACTCACTATCACATTTTTCACCATCATTTTAAGCTGTAGGAAGTAGGTGTTTGGATTTTCCTAAACTGTGTATTTACCATAGTTCATTGAAGACTCAGTTTTTCAATCTAATAATTATGCTTTATATATTTACAAAGGTTTAATTGTAAACCGCCTGGAATTTGTTATTTTTAAAGGTGCTCTAATACAAATCGATGTTAGTTATAACAATATTGATGATAATAGTAGTCTTGAATCGAAGTATTTTCTTTTACCAAGGTTGAGTTAGTCACTACAGTGAGTCAAAACTCTCACGTTTTTGTCAATACTATCTGTAGGTGATAATTGACAAAACTCTCGTGGCCTTTATCATATCGAATTTTTCTCCACATTAATCCCTTAAACAAGCAGAAAGTTATTTCAAGCTCATAGTGCTACCTTTCAGAAAAATCTTTCTCGTACCTTTTCTAAGTATAATAGTATATTTTAGCGTTATATACAGATCGAAACACTATGAACTTAATAGTATTTAGATGATGTCTTTGGATTTTATGAAGTTTGTTTGTTTTTCATAACTACATCTCAAACATTGTTGCCAAGTATTCGACTCATTTCACCATCTCAGTGCCTACAATTAAAGTCAGAGTTGATGTGAACTAATCCTGTGGTTTATATAATCAGGTATATGTATGTGTTGCTAGTAGCGTAGTCGAAATTAGGTGGGGAATTTGTAAGACTGGAAATGAGAGTCCACATGAATTATAAAACATTTGATTGTTATGCAAGCGGTGAAACAAGCAATCAGAGATTTCCTTAGCAGGTAGGTTAAATGATGATTGTGATTCAATGATAACCAAGTCGAAGGTATGGAATCAGTTTTCTCATACTTTCAGTCGTTCCTGAACTATGATATCCATTGGACTTAGGTATATGCAGTTTCTATTAGTTCCACTCAATGTCGAATAGTTGCAAAGACAGTGAAAGAAGCTCTGAATTTTCACTTGGTTGTTACATTTACCAAGTATGAAGTTAGTGCTGATGATGTCATCTAGAAGGATGATGAAAGCTTCACGATTAAACAACCCAGCTCAGAGAGCACAATACAACCAAAATACTATCCACCATGATGATCTCAGTTTTAGACAATTATTTCATGCCCTTTTGTTGTCAGTTCTCCAGAAGTATACCTGGAAGAATAAACGTCACTGAACTGGAAAACCAGTCAGCTGTGGAGCAGTTCGATTATTATTTTGGAGTTTTGAGACATTACTAACTAATCATCCATTTGATTTTATGTCAGTTTGTGTAAGGTAAAGATTTAGATTGAATTGATCTCAGCACTGTGGTTGTTCTACTTTCTTAAGACAAATATTCGGTGTTTGTGTCATTTTGATTTGACCAGTTGGATTTATAAATCAGTTAAATGGATTCTAGCCTGTCATGTTTTCCAATAGTATATTATGTTTTTCCATAACTCTTTCATATCGGTGATAGAAAGGGTCTATTGGAAATAAATAAAGTAATTTGCTTGTTTACTCCTGAACATTCGGTCGTGAGTTGGCAGAGTAATGCTTTTTTCATTGTTTTATGTACAATGAGATTGGACACAAATTTTTTATTTAAGCTTTTCAAGTTTCCTGAAGGCATATAAATTTAATCACAAGAAAAGCAGTGATAGTGTTCATTTTGAGGATCTGTGTTTTACAATAGATTTGTTGGATAATAGCAATCATTGGATATTACGTAAACCACGTACATGGACTAAGTCAATTCAAAAAACTGCCTATCCATTTTTAGTTATTTCACTTATTTTAGATGACGTAGTTAGAAGGTATAGATTATCTAAACAATGTGATATATTTGCGCTATACATTTTGAACAATCTGATTACACATTTACTTGTAAATGCATTATGTATGAAAAACTGAAGTTCGAGAAGGAGAAGTATGACATGAAAGAATTCAATAATAAGAGAGATAATGAAATGAAAAAGCAGATTAAATTTGATAATACATGTGATGAGATTTTTCAAAATGTATAGCCCAAATACATCACAATTTTTAGATAATCTACATTATCTAATTATGTTAACCAAATTCATAAAAGGGACTAGTTGTTTCAAATTCTCATTCTTGTCAAATTATTTTGAGAATTACAATTTAGACATTTGGAAAATTAACAATTTAAGCGAGGAATTATTACTTTCTAGCAGCTACCCATCTGTGATTCTAGCTGATGTCTATAATTTTAAAAACACAAAACAGCATACTAGTCCAGTGTTATCAATCGGTTAATAAGAGATTATCAGTTTCAAGGTATCAACAGGTGGCAAATAATCATAGCTTGTACTTGTTTTTAGATAATTGATAGTTTGTTTTATAGGGACTAAGGCGAATAGAAAAAAGTGATTTTGTCAAGTGATTAACTGTTAGCAATAATCACGCCAAAATGTTTTGCGACAAGTTGAAGAACAAGATGGCTAAAACTATGATGGTGGTTAGTAAAAGTAATTGTTTGTGAAATAAAGGAGAGGATAGTCAGTCAGTTTGCATCAGATGGCGATGGGTATTTCTCCTGAACACAAACGGTTGTCATTTGTAGGTGGATTCCTATGGCCTCCGCAGTATGTAAAGACGAACTCGTAAAGCATGCATCAAATTAAAATAATGCGATAAGTTCAAATTCATTAATAACATCAAATAAATGACGATGTTTACAATGTGCTGAAGCATTATCGATGACGACGAAGATTATCTGTAGCTCAGGAGGATGATTTTCACCAATTCAACGAAATGTTTATCGAAATTCAAGTTGAATAACAACCGGTAACACGGGTGCAGTGAGACTATCAAATGCATACAGAGTAGGTAACGTCAGTCAGTTTGTCTTTGAATCGCCAAGCTAGCACCAGTCGCCTGTTGGGTAGCTGGTACTTCTGCATTAAATAATATTTTCATAACATTTCATAGCTGCTGTCATAATTTCACTTGGGATGAGGATGATAATTATTTGGTGTACTCCAAGACTTAAGTTTTCTTCTTAGACATTTCATCACCAGAGCAGGTGACTTAACCATCATCTACTTCATAAAAAGGAACAGAATTTATCTGAAAGCTGTTAGTAGTCTGATTTTCATATTAGACATTTTCATACATTTAGCTAAAAAATTGGTTAGATATCTGTTACAACTTAGTAGATCAAAAATATTTTGCAGTTCTTCTTTATCATCGTTTGAGTAGATAACGTTTCCGAGGTGAACCAAACATTTATTTAAATTCCATTTATTTTGCAAGGAAAAGAAACTCATTAAATGAGTATATTAACTGGACGATTTTGCTTCTCAATTTCTTCTTACCTTTCCATACGTTTTTCTTGTCAATAGAACATCTAAGAAGATAATACTAAAGTAATTTTCTCTGTCAGTGGTAGTGATCAGTGGAAAGATTCCATTGAGCCTAGCTGATATAATCGTTGCATCGTTTTAATTTTTCAAAATTACGAATGTGTTGTTCACGTAACGGCAATAAAGTTCTCACTTGTTTATTGTGCACACCACATGGCCACTTCCTAATTTCTCCGAAAAATCATCTGCGGCGATCAAACATAGAGGTAATCCTCTAACAAAATCGTCTAACTGCCTGGTGAACTCCTAATTGAAAAAGAATTATAAGTTTATTGTACATCATTAGAGAAGCTGTTTCAGGAAAAATGCTGAAATTTCTGATCACTATGCTGCACATGAATTTCACCGTTTCCATCAAAGACACATTGCTCAGTAGCAATATCATTAGCTTAAAATTTACATTCAAAAGTCATATTTTCTCGATAAACTGAAAAGCATAGTTAACGCTAGGCTTTGAAACTTCTGTGTGTATTCCTTGCAAGACCCATACTAGCTACTTCATACACACATTGTTTGAATTGTTAGATATATCAAGAACTGGTTGCAGTGTTAATCTATTTTAATGCACTTCCGGTAAGCCATCTGACCTTGGTGTTACTCTATCGATATATCTGAGTATTTCATAAACATTGCCAAATGAATTCTTTCTGTCTCAATTTATTTAAAGATTTTGATAATTGACTTCCAGTTACATCAGTGTTGTTTGATAGCTTCTGAAACTTACTGTGATCACTGAGAAGGATGCTTAACTGACCCAAGTATTCCACTTTTGCCATCATAGACATTCAGGATTAGTTAACAGGATTACTGACCAACAAATTCCCATTCATTCAAAGTTTATTGATAGCTTCTCTATACAATTTTAGTTAAAATGTTCTTAACATTTTGGTAATTGTTCACAAATTTATTGTGACAGTTGACCAGACTGGTCTTGCCAGCTCTTCATTTGACGAAAGTGATAAGTTTTCTTCCCGTGTATACAGGTTTTCGAACTGGATATATGTATCTATTTTATGACTGTTAATTTCACAGTCACAAAAGCTAGAGCCCAAAGTTAATGTTTCTTTTCTATTCTGTTACTGACGACTTTATTCAAGTTGTCCAAGAATGGTTTTCTCGGGTGGTTTGGAAGATCTACAACATCGCAGAATATTTCTGCAACATACATCATGGATTTCATTATACACTGTTTCACAGTATAAATCTGGTCCAGAGCACACCGTTTAAGAATCCTTCTATTTAGTCAAACTCTGTTACTAATAATAACTTACACTAAGCTTCAGAACAGCGTCTTTATTCTTAAAACATTCATGAATAAAAACTCATCGAATGCCTCTCTTTATTGACCATTTGAACTGTACTCCAGGTACTCACTTAGCACCTTCCCTAATATTATTCTTGAACTATCGACCACCTTTAAATATAAATGCGAGGAATACTCCAGCATCTTTTCTTGCACCATTACTTTCCAAACAATATTAGTACTACCAGTGTTCTGATTTTCCTTAAAAAGTGTTGAAATGATTGTGACACACGCGGTCGAAAAAAATGTAGTCAGATACATTTAATTTGGTGTGTTCTGACAACTTTTTCATTCGTGTTTGATTTTAATTTCAAGTTTCATGCATAGGTTAAGCTTTTCAAAACAGCCTTACTCAATAAAATTTTTTTGCTTAGCAACATGATGACTTTAACAAGTAACTGACAGGAATTTCGCCTAACGACCAGTCAACCATTTCATCTGTGAAGCGTTTTTGCCTAGAAAAGCTTAGACAGTAAGTTGTAAAAATATTTGATTGAAGACAAGTTTCATCAAATTTCTAAGCAAGTTTTATTGGTGAGTGATAATAAACTGGGAACCTGTATTTTTCCAATCTCCTGTCAGC